CATGAAAATATTTCTATCTAAATGACAACTAAGTAATTTCTTATCGCTGTGTAATGTTCTGTCAAAATAACCACACAGTGAAGAATTTTATGTTGTTTTCCAATTTATGATCTCCACAATATCTTCCTGTCTAAAATTTATAATTCTAAAAATAAATGCAATCCTAAATTAGTGGGCAAAGGTATGGACAGATAATCAAAAACAAAAGGATAGAAAAACAGCTATGGTAATGAAAGGGGAGAAAGCAAAAAATCATCAATTGTGATTCATAGGCATGACGGGTTGGTTGAGAAATGACTACATTTTATAGAGTTGCCAACTATGAAGTCATAAGAAATGGAGATGGCATTCTTGAGGCCTTAACTTGACTTTGAATTCAGGAAGAATTTTCACGAACAGTCACCAATATTCTGCTATTAATATGATCATTATTCAAAGGGCATTTCTCATATGTGCTAAAACTGGAAGTGATTTCAGATTCTGCTTTGGTCTTCTAAGACACACCTACATAGAGATGCAGTTGCTACCACTGTGAAGGGTGAACTTGGAAATCAAATACTGTATCAAAGGGTATTATGTAATTCTAACAAATAGAAAACCTGTGGCTTTGGGACCTGTAGTGTGAATTCAGGAATTCTGACACAGAGGGTTTTGTTTTGTAAAGTTTTATTTTTAAGGTTCCTTCATTTTCATTTTACTAACTCACTCAAAAGTTAATTTATATTTAAGAATTCAGAAACTTCTCTGAACCATGTGTGGAGTTTGGTTTGATTGAAAATTAAAATCTGATTAATAAATGGTCTTACCTACAATGGAGAGAATCACAACCACAAAATCAAAAATGTTCCATCCTACAGTGAAGTAGTAGTGCCTGAGGGAGATCAGTTTCAGCACACATTCTCCAGTGAACAGGACAATAAAAACCAGATTTATCCAATATAAGACATTAGTCATGTCGTCACTCTGTCCATCTCTTTCTACCATCATGGTTACCATGTTGAGGCAGATAAGAACCATAATGGTGATATCAAAAGCTTGATTTGTTACTAGGTCAAATACACATCCTTGGAGTTTGTTCTGCAAAGAAACAAGAATAATATGGAATGTACAGTAAACTTTGCAAGTAGTGTCCACTAAACATTGCCGCTTAGTAAAAAAAAATTTTAAAAAGGTACCTATCTTAAAACTTGCATAAATTATCCTTGGTCACAAGTTCATGTTTTCTATAAGAAATGTTATTAATGGGTTAAATCAAAGTCAAGAGTAGATGAGACTTTTTTTGTTGTTGCCTTTAAATATATCAGACCAGTATTCAGTTAGCCTTGTACACTAACATTTGTTTTTAAGCTTATCTACCCTAGTATGTTATATTTGATCATCAAAAGTACATTTATTTTGATTTTCTTCAGGCCACTATAGGAGTAAGTTGTGTAACTAATATAAAAGTAAAAGCATATACAATTATTTTTCATTTTTAGAGAAAAATAAAAAATAAGAAGGAATATTAAAAACTAATTTAGTGTTCCAAATACTTATATTAAATTTTATAAAGATTTTATTCAAAATATTGGCAATTGTGTTAAAAAGTTGTGTTCAAAATTTTGTTTAAAATACAGTAAAACCTTGAATTGTGAGTAATGTGGTTTGTGAGTGTTCCGCAAGACGAGCAAACATTTCTAATACATTTTAATGTGATATATGAGTGATGTCTTGTGATACGAGTAGTTTGTTTCTGGAACAAACTATGCTCACAAACCAAGGTATTACTGTATTCATGTTTAAGAGATAGTTGTACATTAAAGATGCTGAAGATATATACATACACATACATATATATATATATATAT